GGCTGAGGCTCCCGGGGAGCTGTGGGCTCCAGGCCCAGGCAGGGGCAGCTGCTGGCCCCAGCCCTCCCCGCAGGTGCCTCACTCGTGTCCCTGTGCTGACTCCTAGATGCCATGATGGAGCTGGCTGGGGCTGACCACACCGAGCTGGATGGCCAGCAGGAGATGGACGACTTCGAGGAGGAGAACTCTTACGGCTACGGGGCCGTGGGCAACCCCCCAGACGAGCACACGCTGGCCGAGCAGGCCATGAAGGAGATGGCCTACTACAACATGTTGTAGCCCAGGCTGGTGGGGCTGTGGGGGCTTGCTGGGTTAAGAGGGGCTGCAGCACCCAGTCAGGTCCCCCAGAGCTGGAGGGATGGCTTCCACTGGGCTTGGGGAACACAGGGATGTCCAGAAGACTTTGCTGGACCTGCCTTGGCTCTGCTGCTGCCCCCCTGCCCCTGCCTGCACCCTGCACCTGCTGACTTGAAGCTGCAGGCAGGGGAGGCGTGACCCAGCAGATCACTGAATGAGTAAGGATGGAAGGGGCTGCTGTGGAGCAAGATGATGAGCATCACTAATTATTCTACCTCCTGGGTCCCCCCTCGCTGCACAGGGGTTCCCCTGACGGGCAGAAGCCCTGCCCGCTGAGGAGGTGGGTTTGCATTTCCCACTCCCCCGGGGCTCTCAGCCCTGTGCCAGGCCCTGGGATGCAGAACAGAGTATTTTCATAGAAGCTCAGGGCGCAGTCAGCGCCCACAGCTCCGGCTCTGGAGCTGCAGCCAGCGGTGGAGCCGGGGGAGGCAAACCCAGCCCAGCCCCAGCAAATGATGGTATTTTGAAAGTAATTTATTTTTTTCAGATGTGCCGCGTGGTTGGTTTTATCTTTTCACTGAGTTCAGTTCCCTTCAACCAATGTGCTTTGTAAACCCGTGTAAGCTGTGTGGTCTGTGTGGGGAGAGGGGGTTGTGAGGGGCTGAGTGGGGTCCTGGGCAGAGGAACTGGCTCTCCCTGGGGCAGCCTGTGAGGTGGGGTTTGCCCCCTCCATGCCCAGGGATGTGGCAGGGAAGCAGCTGGGGCCTGGCACCACTCTTTGGGCTCTTCACTGTGTGCTGTGGGGCAGAGGACTCACAGCACCCACAGCGTCATCCCCCAGGAGCACCCAGAGCTGGGCAGGTCCTGGCAGGCATCAGGAGCCAGGGGCCAGCCAGGGCACAGGGGCTAGGACACCTGTGCTGACCCCACACACCCTGCACTGTGTCAGTGGCTGAGCACCATCTGCCCCATCCCCAACGCCCCAGGGTGGGTCACTCAGCCCGCCGCCCCTGCCAGCCTTGGGGCAGGATGGAGATGGCCACAGAGCCTTGCTGAGCCTGGCAGGGCTGGGGACCCCCAGACGCTGCCCCCAGGCCAATGCCAAAATGCTGCAGTGCACGGCCCCCCAGGCTGGCAAGGCTGAGCTGAGGGCTCTGGGTGCCCCCTCTGCGCGCAGTGCAAAGCTGTGCCAGGTGCTGTGCCATGGCTGGGGAGATATTTAATGGCACCAAACCGTTATGGGGTACATGAATCAGGGCAGGACACACACACACCCCCACGCACCCCTCCACCCCACAGTCCCCTGCTACAAAGGCTTTAAAAACACTCCTAAGAAAACTTTAGAAAAATTATTCAACTGTTCCTGAGCTGTGCTGGGGAGCTGGGGAGGGCACTGGGCCCTCCCAACCCCATCCATCCCAGAGCTAGAGAGGCTGTGTCCTATTTCTTGCCCAGAGCCTTGTCCAGGTTGTTCTTGATGGCATCGAGGAAGTCGGTAGTGTTCACAAAGTGCTCATTCAGCTTCACACTGTGGAGGCAGACAGGGATTGGGGGGGTCCCTGCCTGCCTCCTCCTACAGGCCCCACAGCCCTGGCTCCAGCATGTGGCCCCTGCCCAACCCAGTCAGCAGTGAACAGCCAACCTGAGTCCCTGGGGACTGTCCAGAGAGGCCAGCAGCTACCACCTGTGGCCACGGTGCCCAGCCAGCTCCTGGACACTTCCCTACTCTCAAGGCTGCCCTGCAGGGCCAGCCCGTCCTTGTGGTCACTGTGCTGTTCTTGTGGCCACCCTAGAGGGTCCCCCCACCCGCACGGTCACCTGTGTAGCCACGCTGCCCTAGTGCAGGTGGCTGCCCCCCTTGTGCCCTGAGAGCCCCCGTACTTGGCAAGGCCGTGGATGCAGCCAGCGAGGTCCTTGGTCATGGTCCCGCTCTCCACGGTGTCCACACACACCTTCTCCAGCGTCTGCGCAAACCTGGGCACGGGTTTGGGGCACAGATTGCACAGCTGCTGCCACGGTGCGACCAGAGCAGCTGCTGCAGGGACCCTCCCCGGGGATCCCACCCCCTGCTCACTTGATGAGCTCCGGGTTGCTGTCCAGCTTGCCGCGGTGCTCCAGGCCGCGCGTCCAGGCGAAGATGCTGGCAATGGGGTTGGTGCTGGTGGGTCGGCCCTGCGCAGAGACAGGGGTCAGCTGTCTGCTGGGGACACCCTGCCCTGGGCAGCCTGGCACAGGCAGCTCACAGGCTCTTCCCACCTTCTGGTGCTCCCGGTAGTGGCGGGTGACAGTGCCGTGGGCGGCCTCGGCCTCAATGGTCTTCCCGTCCGGACACACGAGGACAGAGGTCATCAACCCCAGGGAGCCGAACCCTGCGGGGGGACGGGGGTCAGGACAGCTGCAGGGGTGACGCTGCAGAGCCCACCACACCCTACCCT